TTATCATCTCTGTATGGGAAGTGATGTTCAGAATATAAAGCTAATGTCTAACGTCATGCAGATAAGTTGTAAAGCCAAGATTTAAAGTTAGGTGTCTCTGTGATTCCAGAACCTCACTGCACCCCAAACCCCAAAATTCTATTTACTTGAATTTTCTACTCCCCTCATCTGTCATTAAGTTTTACCAGCTGCTCTGACAATGACATTCTTCATTTGACAGCAGCCATGGCTGCCATTAACACAAACAATGCTTCCACTGCTATCACTGCTATTATCCCAGCAAAGTGGGAAGGAGATTCCCACCCCTGTAGTGTTTACAGGATTTTTCCAAGTTTCCTGACTCAGATTCCTGTATCTGTATATTCCAACTATAAGAGATGCAGTACTGTATACCAGTCATTGGATCAAGGCATATACCACATATGATATATAGCACCCAACCCTACAAGGTTTAATCCTCCTGGAATCTGAGCTGAGCCTTCAACCACCTATTCTGTTGTTCGATCAGGCATTTTGTAAGCCCTCAGACAGTGGTGCCAGTGAGAGAGAAGGCAAATCGATTCTGAGTACATAACCATTCTGCTGAGGAAGAAATTACGGCTGCCTTCAGGATAGAAGAAATTCAAGTAATTGACCTGACACTGAATAGCTGGAGGGTCTCACGGAAGAATGGTGCTGTATGGAGGACTGCTGTCAAGTTGGACACTCAGCTGTGGCAGATGCTAAATCATCTTCAGTGAAGGGAAGCCTACCAACTGGGAGTACTTCCTTCCCCACTGTCCTTCAGAGCTACTGCTGATGGGACTATAATGGGAGAGCAATCCATTTCCACATAGTGCCAACATATTGCACTGACTCATCTGTGAATCAGGACAGAAAGCTTTCTGCCTGACAATTGATAGCATCAGATCCCCACCCCAACATAAGGCAACATAGGTATGGATTGAAAGAGGGGCACTGGTATGGCAGAATCAGCTGACACCTGTTTGGACCATCTGACCTACACTGTTCATGCTGACTGGACCTGCTTGAGCCAAATCCTAAGTATACCGCTTCCATCACACAATACATCATTGATGTTCATGCCCACCCTTATAACTTGGTATGTCAAATAACACCCAATTTATTGTAAGGAGCTCATATTCATAGACACTTGGTACTTATAGTGGAAACATCCTAAGATGATCCCCACTGAGTCATATGCTTATATAATTCCCTCCCCTGAGTTTAGGTGGAAGCTGTGACTTGCTTCTAGCCAACACAATATGGCAAAAAGTGATGGGATAATCACTGTGGTGATTACATTACATTATCTAAGACTCCATCTTGGCAGACTTCAGTGAGAGCTTCTCCTGATGGCCTTTAAGAACTAAACTACATAGTGATGCTAGTTAATAATATGGTATTATGTACATAAAAGTTGCTGAGAGTAGATCTTAAGTGTTCTCACAAAAAAAGAGTTGACTATATTAAGTATGTCAGATGATGTATGTGTTATCTTGATCTTGGTAATTATTCTACAATGTATGTGTATATCAAAAAAATAAAAATAAAATCCCTAGCTAGTGTGGCTCAGTTGGTTGGGCACTGTCCCATGCACCAAAAGGTTGCTGGTTCCATTCCCAGTCAGGGCACATGCCTGGGTTGCAGTCTCTATCCCCAGTAGGGGGCATGCAGGAGGCAACCAATCAATGTTCCGCTCTCACATTGATGTTTCTCTCTCTCCTCCTCTCCTTTCCACTCTCTCTAAAAATCAATAAAAATATTTTTAAAATAAAAGAACTAAACTGCAACAATGTAAGAGGACCTGTGAGAGTGCCACATGGCAAGGAACTACAGTCAGTCTCTGAGACTAAGAGAGGTCCCTGGTCAACAACCAGCAAGGAAACAGGGACCTCAGTCCTACAACTGAAAGGAACTGGATTCTGCCAATAACCATGTGATCTTGAAAGCAGACTCTGAGCTCCAGAAAATAAAGTACCCTAGCCAATACCTTGACAGCATTCTTGTGAGACCCTGAACAGAGGACTCAGCTAAGCCAGGACCAGATTCCTGACCCATGGAAACAGATAAGAAATGTGTGGTGCTTTAATCCACTAAGTTTGGGACAATATTGTCATTCAGCCTTAGGTACCATGCCCTATGATCAGGTACTCAGACTCTACTAGCACACCAGAATAGTTCTCTGCCTCCAAGGGCATGGCCTTTCTCCAGAACCTCAGATATCTATCCTCACTGTGACTTTCCTAGGGGTTTGCCAGAGACTTATTCTAGCACTATTGGATCTGAAATATCATCACATGGTCCAGGAGGCAGATCAGCTTGTGGTCTAGCCCTGCTGCCCTCTCTTGCCCTGGTCCTCACTTGAAACTGGTCAGAGCAATACTCCCATGTATTGTATCCAAAATCCTAAAAGATCTAAGAATGCTGGACTACTTTCTTAGTGGTAGAAAGTGCAAAGTACAGTATTTTGTCCTCTACCTTAGAAAGGATGTTTTGTACCCAACTCCCAAACCTGTAGAAATTCACAATGTAAATATATTCATCAATAAGGTGGGCCAGTATGATATTCTGTGGAGTGTAAAGATGTTTAAGCTTCCTATATATTATATTATTATGGAAAGTATGAGAGTTAAAATACCTGAGGTAAGACAGTGAGCATGTCCTTGCCAAATAAAGGTGAACTCCTTGTTAACTTTTGACATATAATTTACATACAAAAAACAGAGATCTTACTTTTGACAGTTATATATACATACCCATGTAACCACCATTCAAAACAACATATGCAGCGTTTTCATCACCCCAGGATTTCCCTCCTGTCCTGTCCAGTTAATCCCTTGATGTACACCCAGAGGCAACTACTTTCTTATTTCTTTCTCCGTAGATTTGTATCGTCTGTTCCTGGAAGTCATTTAAATGGAATCATGCAATATAGATTTTGGTGTATATCTTACCTCTTGCACATAAATGGTGTTTTTGATATTGTAAACTGCTTTCAAGTCTCCCTATTAATAAGTATAAAAAATTTTTGAAGCAAGGTGTATACTTCTCTATCCAAGCTGTGCTGAGATGTGATTCTGGTTATTGACCTGGAGGTAATGAAAATGATGGAGTGCATCTTGAGAAAAAATGTCTTTTTGTAAGGCAGCTGCTTCAGGTGAAATCATGACATGCTTTCCATGAAAATGGAAGCTATTCTCCTCTGGCAAGAAAAATTCTAGCTTCTGCCAGCAAGAAAAATTCAAGGAAACTAGAGGATTTACAATACTTGGATTCATCCACCCAAAGACTCATTCCTCATCTCATTCCACTCCTCCCCTATCTGATTTTTTAAAAAATGGGCCTGAAAAGTTTGTACATTTAGTCTTTTTTTTCATCTGTGACACCCTTATTATCAGATCCTGAGCCTGATTTTTAGTACAGTCTATCCTGCAACTACAGGAGATAAGGATCTCTTTCAAATCTTCCATAGAGCCAGAATTTCCACTGCAGCCAAAAGCAACCATTCTATTTCAAGATCCTTATAAATAACATTGTATATTGATTGAGTGCCACAGCCATTTGACCTCCCCGTATCTTGCCCTGCAGCTCCATATCACACCAATACAATACCACATACCACAGATGAAAGCTCAAGTAATTGCAATGCCATTTCATGTCAGGGGTTATTTCCACACACTTAGTACCACCAACAGGGTCCTTAATGCTTATAGACAAGTGAACAATCTAACTCTAGAACCCCATCCTGACAGTCTATTTTCTAGAACCACTTCTAATATCAAATGTCTTAGCCAGGGTCTCCTAAAACAGAGCTTGAGTTAAAAATTCACATACTAACCATTTGGGAGTTGTGCAAACCTAAGGCAACAAGGATAATGAAAAAAGGTTAAGTGAGGCAAGGAAAGATATAAAACAATGTAATGCATGAATGCATTACTCCACTGGCCTTTGGCTGAATTAAACTGAAGGCCATTTGCCAGGTTTGCTCAGAATGGCTGAAAGGAAAACACAACATTTCAGAGTTGTTAAGAAAGGAAGAAATTTATCTGCCTGGCTCCCTCATGCCTCCTCATTTCCACTAAATTTCATACCCCAAGATACTGACTACTCTTTACCTCCAGGTTGCATCATTTGGTCCCTTGGCAACTTCTCACAAAGCCAGATCCCATGCCCATGGTATGGCATTTTATCTAAGTGTGGAAATGGAGTGATAACTTGGTTGTCGTGGTCATAGTTTAGGAAACATTGAGGTCATGCAGGTTCAGAGTTTCAACTCAGACTACCTTGTAGCTCTGAAAGCTCACGCAGGATGCCAAAAATGGAATGGCAGTAGCATAATATGGAAATGGGAAGCAGTTTGGAAAATAATCTGAGAAGGCACGTAAGTTTATGTCTACTTCAAATTAGTCCAAATAAGACAAAAGGATAGTTTGAACTAGAGGAGTGACAGTAGGGATGGAGAAGAGAACAGATTTAGAATATTTTGAAGATAGAGCCAGCAGAACTTTCTAATGAACTGGATGTGAGGAGTCAGAGAAAGGGAAGATTCATAGGTGACCCCTACATGTTTTCCTTGAGTAACTGGATGAAACATGATCATTTCTGATATATGGGGTATGGGGGAGCAATAGATTTAGCAGGGACGGAATCAATATTTAGTATAATGCTGTTCAACAATTTTTATCAAAAACATTTTGTGTTTGTGGTTTATTTTTGTTTGCTTGTTTGTTTGTTTTTTAAAGACAGATAAGCTGCTTTGGGTTTATTAAGTACAAGGATGTAGTTTTTTTTAACTCTCCTTTGCCTTCCTTTCTGCCCAGCTAAGATTTTTGTTTGCTCTCCTCTTACTAACCTATCTGCTCTTTGCAATGATGAGCCAAAGACCAGCACAACTGTCCCCGGAGCTGAAGGTGGATTCATCTCAGACAGCCCTCAAGAATCCTACTGAAGTGAATGACTCTGTTTCAGTCAGCTCAGGCCACTGTGGAGCAGAAAAACTAGTGTCCTTGGAGCACTGCCTTCATCCCCTTGAATTGTACCAATTGGCAGGCCTCATCCAGCCCCAGCCAGCAGTAAGCTTGGTGCTCGTGGGAGAGGTGGATCTCCATGTCATAGTCCTTCACCTCTGCCAACCAGTATATGACTGTTTTAGGCTTCTCCCTGACCATATAATTGAGCTCCCTTCTGAACCCCTCAATCATGGTCAGCTGGCTTGCTTTTAGGCCTGCTTCCTCCTGAGTCTTCTGCAGGGCTGTTTCCAATTCATTTTCTCCTGGTTTGGCATGGCCTTTAGGAGGACTCCAGTGATGAATTCCATCTGATGCCTGCAGCAGTAAAAACTCAACTGCAGTATTGTTCATCTTAGGAATGAGGCATCTTTGGAAAATGATCAAGCCACATGCTCTCAGGGCCATGGTCTGTTTGAGAACCCAAGCAGAAGGAGGAAGGAGGCCTTTGTGATTTATTTAAGACTAAATCATTAGACTTAATAACCATATCTCATAATAAGTTCATTCCATAGTTCAGCCAAAGGCCAGCCCTATATATGGATAGGACCAGTTACCACTTGTATGATGTACTTGTCAATACACGGAACAGCCTGCCCCAAAAGATTTCCTCCACCTATTGGCCAGCTGCCCATAATCTGTGTTCTGATAATCTATTGCCATGTAACAAATCACCCCAAACATAGTGGCTTAAAACAACATTGATCCTGCTCATACCAATGGGCAAGGTAGTCTGACCTTTGCATCATTGGTGTCAGCTGGGATGGCTTAACTGGAAGCTAAAAGATCTACGTCTAAGATGGCTCACTCACATTGACTGGCAAGTTGGTGCTAGCTGTCAACTGAGAGCTCAGCAAGGACTGAGGGCCAGGAGCCTCACTTCCTCTCCATAGGGGCCTCTTCATGGGCTGATGGGCCTTCCTCACAGCATATGGCTAAGTTTTAAGAGTAAACACCCCCAGAGACAGGAAATGGAAGCTGCCAGTTTCTTGAGTCATAGCCCCAGAAACTGTCATAGTGCCATTTCTGCCATATTCTATTTGTCAAGCCTTCACAGAACCCAGATTCAAAAAGAGGGGACTAGACATCACCTCTCAATATGAGTGTCAAACATTTGGAGGCCAGCCCTAGCCAGTTTGGCTCAGTGGATAGACCATTGGCCCGTGGACGGAAGGGTCCTGGGTTTGATTCCAGTCAAGAACACACTACCACGGTTGCAGGCTTGATCCCCAGTCCCAGTTGGAGTGCGTGCAGGAGGCAACCAATTGATGTGTCTCTCTCACATTGATGTTTCTCTCTCTGTCTCTCCCCTTCCCTTCCATTCTCTCTAAAAATCAATGGAAAAATATCCTTGGGTGAGGATTAACAAAAAGGGGGGGGCATATTTTAAAATGGAACAGCTTAGCCAAGCCAGTGTGGCTAAGTGGTTGAGCACCAACCCATGAATCAGGAGGCTACCATCAGATTCCTTGTCAGGGCACATGTCCGGGTTGTGGGCTCAATCCCCAGTGTGGGGTGTGCAGGAGGCAGATGATCAATGATTCCCTATCATCATTGATATTTCTATCTCTCTCCCTCTCCCTTCCTTTCTAAAAATCAATTTTAAAAAAATATTTTGCCGGGAGCTGGTCCATGCTTGCTGTTTCAAGGGACCTGGCATATATGGCATACTGTTCTTAAAATGTTTGCTCACCTTCTTGGCACTATGTTTTTTAACCAAGGTCACCTCTCCGAGAAAGGTTGTTTCCCCAGGTAGGGATTTTTCCCTGAAGTTAGGGAGGGAATAAAACCTCTTAACTAAGTGCCAGGCGGGTAATTAATCACTTTAACTAGGAACAATCATGCTTAAGCTACATAATCTTTACTCCCTGGAATGGAGATAAGAAACGCCCTAACCTTTGTAATAGAGATTGATAGGATTGAATCAACTGGTATAAATACAGATGTAACAAGACAGAACTTAGAAGACAGAACCTACACAGAACTAGAGACAGAAGAACTTCGCTGGAGAGAACATGGCAAAAGATCCTGGACTGAACCTGACTACAGAAATGGGCAAGAGAACCTGACTAGAACCTGGTGACTGAACCTGGCTGGAGAACCTGGACAGAACCTGGCTGGAGAACCTAGCGAGGGAACATGGCTACAGAACCTGGCTGGAGAACCTGGAGAACCTAGCAAGAGAACATGGACACAGAACCTGGCTGGAGATCCGAACCAGAACTTCGCTGGAGATCCAGACCAGAACTTGGCTGGAGATCCTGGCTAGAGATCCTGGCTAGGCTGCTGATCAACTGAACACTGTCTCCGTGTCCTTCCTTCTTCGCCGACTCCGTCCTCACCTATGGGGAACCCCTGGACCTGCTGGGGCTGGACCCCGGCATCTGGCGCCCGAACAGGGACCCCTAGGTAAGCGCCCTGCACTCAGGACGGATAGGACTCCACCGTAGGAAGAGGGTGGATAGTCTTCGCCGACTCCGTCCACACCTTTGGGAACCCCTGGAACAGGATTACCCTGGGTAAGCCCCCCCCCCCCCATTGAGAACCCCACACTCGGGACGGATAGGACTCCACCAGGGTACTGCAGACCCCCCTATAGAGGATAAGTAGGGTAAGAAGGTGGATAGTACAGAACTTAGATTGAGAAGATGTGCCATACTGAGTCTAAAGAAAAAAGACTCCGTATTGATCTTTTAACACATATGCTTGCTAGCAGAGGAGTTAAGGTTACTCCCAGCCAGATGGAACATTTTATACAAGAAATACGTCCATGCTTTTCTGAGGAAGGAAAGGTGCCGGAAAGGTAAATGTAAAGGCATGGGAGGAGGTAGGCCCAAGGAGCCTTATCCTTAACCCCACTGCAGCCTTTCCACCCCGGGAAAGTGCAGGATTGGCAAGCTCTCCCTGGGGTGATAGATCAGGACTCAGGTAATAGCGGAAAGTGCCAATCCTACTCTTAAAATGGATACAAGAGAGCATTTGGGGTTTTTCTTTTTAATGCCTGCTTTTAAAAAAATAAAAAAGGGGGAATTTGCCGGGAGCCGGTCCATCCTTGCTGTTTCAAGGGACCTGGCATATATGGCATACTGTTCTTAAAAAATGTTTGCTCACCTTCTTGGCACTATGTTTTTTAACCAAGGTCACCTCTCCGAGAAAGGTTGTTTCCCCAGGTAGGGATTTTTCCCTGAAGTTAGGGAGGGAATAAAACCTCTTAACTAAGTGCCAGGCGGGTAATTGATCACTTTAACTAGGAACAATCATGCTTAAGCTACATAATCTTTACTCCCTGGAATGGAGATAAGAAACGCCCTAACCTTTGTAATTGAGATTGAAAGGATTGAATCAACTGGTATAAATACAGATGTAACAAGACAGAAAGAACACAGAACTTAGAACACAGAACTTAGAAGACAGAACTTACACAGAACCTAGAGACAGAAGAACTTTGCTGGAGAGAACATGGCAAAAGATCCTGGACAGAAACTGGCAACAGAACCTAGAGGCAGAACCTAGCGAGAGAACATGGCAAAAGATCCTGGACTGAACCTGATTATAGAACATGGCAAGAGAACCTGACTAGAACCTGGTGACTGAACCTGGCTGGAGAACCTGGACAGAACCTGGCTGGAGATCCTAAGCAGAACTTCGCTGGAGATCCAGACCAGAACTTGGCTGGAGATCCTGGCTAGAGATCCTGGCTAGGCTGCTGATCAACTGAACGCTGTCTCTGTGTCATTCCTTCTTCGCCGACTCCATCCACACCTTTGGGGACCCCTGGACCTGCTGGGGTTGGACCCCGGCAATATTTAAAAAATAAATTGTCACCACTTAGAATCTATAACCTGTCATGAGTTAATGGTGCCTTTGGTCTCATGGTGGTAGAGGAAGGGACTCTTAAACCACTGAGTCTCCACTTATATGATTTTGTCCGATGAACTTTTGACACCCCTCAGGTCCCTGAGTGAATGGGAGCCAGGATGGAGAGAATAATTATATAATAACATAGCTACCACTTTTTGAGCACTTATCACATTCCAGACATTGTTCTGAGTGCTTCACATGCATGAGCTCATTGAATCCTTCCAATAACCCCTTGAGGTAACTTAATATTCTTATGCTATTTTACAGATGAGGAAATTGAGGTATAAAAGGGTTAATGATTTGCCCAAAGTTACACAGCCAGGAAGTAATTGAGCTTGGATTTCAGCCCAGATCTGTCTAACTCCAGAACCCACACTTAAAACCATTACACCATATTGGAAAGGGTAGAGAAGGACTTGTCAAAGACAGAGGGGCTGCCAGGCCACAGCCGTAAGCAGGGCCAAAGGGTTCATCAAGCCTTCACTGGTAGCAGCCTTATTGGAAGAAGTATGTGTAAAACATCAGAGCAGCTTGGATTTTTCCATCACAAAAGATTCCTGGTGTGGGAAAGCATGAAAGGAAAAAAGTATTCACTGACAAGTACTTTTTCATTTGTCAGGCATTATGCTAAGGGATTTATTGCATTAATTTCAAATAATTTCTAAACAATCATGTGGTATTATTATTATTGCCATTTTGCAGCTGAGGAAACAGAAATTAAGTAACTTACTCATGGTCACTCAGGTGGTTAGTGGCCATGCTGAGATACTAGCTCAGATCTGACTCCAAATCCATATTCTTTTTTGTTTGTTTTTTGTTAATACTCACCCAAGGATATTTTTCTATTGATTTTTAGAGAGTGGAAGGGAAGGAAGGAGGGAGAGGGGAGGGAGGGAGGGAGGGAGGGAGGAGGAGGAGGATGGGGGGGGGAGAGAGATACATCAATGTGAGAGAGACACACTGATTGGCTGTGCTCTGACAGGGACAAAGCTCTAACCACTAAGAAACACTGGCCAGGGCCCAAATCCATATTCTTTTTTTTTTTTAATATATTTTATTGATTTTTTACAGAGAGGAAGGGAGAGAGTTAGAGAGTTAGAAACATCGATGAGAGAGAAACATCGATCAGCTGCCTCCTGCACATCTCCCACTGGGGATATGCCCGCAACCCAGGTACATGCCCTTGACCGGAATCGAACCTGGGACCCCTCAGTCCGCAGGCCGACGCTCTATCCACTGAGCCAAACCGGTTTCAGCAATATTCTTAATCATTACATATGAAACTTTCTCTCTATAGTGGGGTAGCCCCAGGGTTGGGACTGCTATATAGAGGCCTCAGGAAAAGATTACTGAAAAGGCTGGGAGAAGATGCAAAATACTTTGAGTCCATCTTTCTAACCCATCATATTGCTTTTAGACAGGTATCACCTCTAGCTGGTTGCCTCCCTTTGTGTCTTTTATCTAAGATCTCATTAATAGCCAAGAATATTTGCTCCACAAGGCATAAGATAGTCTGAGCAAATCCATCTCCAATTATTCTCCTCTTT